TCCTCGGCTTCGCCTTGGGAAATTATCACCCATCCAGACTCACACCGGTTTTAAACAGAGTGTTATAATACATGTACCTCCTGAACACACATTTATTCCCTTATTGAATTTGTTGGCTGGTGAAGAGAGTCGGCAGTGCTTTTGTATATGGTTACCCTGTACATGTAATACTGACTAAAACTGGTCCAATCTAGACGCATGGATAGATTTCCAGTGAATAGCCAATTTGCCCTCCTAAATCAATGGACTAGAATATGTTGTGGTGTCTGGCACCACCAGCCTTACTAGGATTGCCTTGTCTTGTTTCAATCTGCCATTGCCAAAGAATGTGTGTACGGTTCGTACCACATGTAAATGTATGAACATTTCAAGAACCAAGTCAGAGAAGCTGATTCCGTTGCTTAATTTTGTCAGGGAAGCAACACTTCCAGACCCCCTGAGTATGGTGAGCATTCACACAAGTGTTCCCATGCCTTCCATATCAGGTGTGCACAATATGACCTTTATCACAAAGCGATTTCATTCCAATAAATTCCACAATACAGACAGGAAATGATAACAGTAGGAATTGCTTTGTTGGAGACAAAAATCCTGATCTGCGCTTCATGACGGAGAAAGGGGGCCCGGTCACAATACAACAGCCATCTTTTTTGATAAATGAAATGAAGTATATCAAATCAGTACTATTTGGATGAGAATTGATTTTAAAAAAAAAATTGCTACTTGGATATTTGGTTGCTGATTCCAATATTTGAATATATACAGTATATTCGTCACAGTGTTACAAGTTTGCTGGTATAAAGGCTTGCCTTGAATCAAGGTCCGATACGATCAAAATTTAAGGAAAGTGATGAACATCAAACTTGCAAGGAAATACACAAAATGTACAACAAGAATAATGTATGATGTACACACACAAAAGCTCAAAGAGAAAGTTTGCTTAATCTGTCAGAGGAGAGTTTGCAGATCTTATTTGGAATAAAGATTACAGACCAAAACACACATGTAGGAGATGTGGACAATTTAACATTCATGCGGGAGATTAAAAGCAGCATTATAGGCAAATGCACTCAATGACCAAAACCAGAGTATTGTTTATTTCCATCATGGAAGAAGGAATAGGGCAAACCCATGTACATGTATACAGTGTGTGGTGTACCAGTATGTGAAAAAAAACTTAACCCCATCCGAGAAACAGACCATACCAATGTGTGAGAACCTACAGGTACAGACATGTAATGTAGTATTTCACCATCAAAACTGAAATTAAATTTGATATGCATGGCATGTCCTTCTCTTAACTGGTAGTTTACTGTTCCCAGATTGTGCCAAATTATGCCTGACAATTCAACGTGTGAACTTAAAGGGACTGCACCTCTTATATTGTACTTCTTACACTTGCAAAACATGATTTTGAATGAAACTTCTTATGTTTTATAAAGAAACCAAAGATTTTATGGTACAAAATGTAAAAGTACATGTACTTGTATATCAACACAAATTTAATTCAGCCAAATACCAATCCTTGTTGATGTACAGCACCAATTTCCAGTTATGGTCATCTTGTCGGTGTATTTTAATTTTGAAATGCTTCATGTTCATCCAATCATCCCAGATCCAAAATCTTTGTTTATGAAACTGATGCCAATTTGCAGTCTTCAGCAGTCCCCCTTCATTTGACTTGAAATGAACTGAGCAGTGAGATTTCCCAAGCACTTGAGAGAGCCTGGAGACAGCCCTTTAACACGAGAGTTTCGACTGGTAACCTTTGGTTGACCTCAGTGGCTCCCGCACCCTATCAAGACGCCAATTCCAATGATGCAAGCTGATCGCTGGGAGAGGTCTGTGGGAATTCTTACACACATAGGTTTTGGCATATAAAAAAAAAAAGTAAACATATTTGAACTGGTTCAATGTAAAGTTTCTATAACTTTCGTATTTCTCTCACTTACAGTACGAAACTTGGCTTGTAAGGTTAACCTACATGGTACATGTAAATGTACTTGTTATATTTTTCTTGTTCAAAGTGTTTACACTACAACAAAGGAAAAGATACTCCACATACAAATTTATTTTCCCTACACTGCAGAAAGACAGTTAAGTTTCTGTACATTTGGTGTTTCAGATTTTTAGTACTTTCCAAATACTGACAAACTACCAAGAAAGGCTGATACATACATGTACATGTTCGTGTTCATGTATGACCGTACGGCGTAAGGCGTAAGGTCACATCCAACTGAATCCATAGATCTTAAAATCAAGTGATTATTGGTCCATAGATCTTAAAATCAAGTGATTTTTGGTTATTGGATTCAGCAGCTTTATTCAACAAAACAGTTTTTCTGAAGTTGATAAATTCTGCTGATATTAGAAAGGTGGTTAGATGTTCCTGTATATTGTGACCGACATAAAACTGCATTATTGTAGTTCAATTAATTTCTTAGAAGTTTTTCTCAAACTTTTCACCACAAATTTGTATTCACACAAGACAAGCAGATTCATATGCCTTAAGTGCCATTTACTTCTGCAATGCATTAGCAGATGCAATTTTCACCCAAATCATTCCATTCATTTGACAAAAAACCACATTTGCACTGACCTCACAAGGACACATCATGGGTAACAGTGCAACACCCCAAGCCATTTCCTGCATGTGAAACTAATTAATTCAATTAAGTAGTACCACAGGCAAGGCAGGTACATGTTATTATGTACATTGTAGATTGACCCACAAGATCCCCTAGGGCACGCTTTTGTTTTCAGTAGTATAGAAAGCACCAAACATTTTGAATGTTTTCCTTCAATTCACCAATGACTCTGCACCTTTTGAAGTTTTTCCCCCTTCAATTTTTTTACACTGACAAGCAAACAAAAAATTAACAGGATTGCATACTATACATGTGCATATGTTTTGCATGTATGTTTTAAATAACAAGAGAGTCAGATTGCACAGTGATATGTGTCCAGGCTTCCACCTCAGAGTCTGTGACGCAGGTGAATTGGGTTTTCAGTCACTACCAGATTCTTTGGGCTCCCCAATAAATCTCAGGTATTGCTTTCCACCTACGGTACATGCAAGGGGGTGTTCCCCCCCCCCCCCCCCTCCCCGAAAAGCAAAACCCAAAAAAAAACACCCCAAAAAAGAAGAAAAAAATAAGAGAAAATGAAAAGACAAAGAGGCACAAAGTCATATCGGTGTACATTAAAATGGGTTGGGGGAGGAAGCAAATTGTCCATGGCGTGCCCCCCTCTAAAACTGATAAATCGAGAATATGTTGAGAAATACAGCAATTTTCTGGGGGAAAATATGTTTTGCCCCCCTCTAGAAAAAATCCTGGCGACGCCCATGGCCATTTACACCTTTGAGAAATCCCTTCAAAAAGAAAAACAAACAAAAAGCCAAGCAAACACATTAAACAAAACAAAGCAAACAAAAAAATTCGTAACAAATGATGTGTTCATTACACATTACCAGGCTCAGACAAAAGTAATTATGTACAGTAGTCAACATCTCCCACACAAAATACCAGAGCATCACCGTCCCCCACCCCCTCCAAGAGTACAGAAAGCTGCACTTACAATGTACACATGTACAATGTAGTAAACAACATAAGTTAGCAATAGGATTTCAGCCCAGTTGCCGAGTTGTACTTGTAGAACAAGACCTGAAAGTATGACATCACACTTTTGGAATTCATTCCAGACCACAACTGTTTGGCAACCAGCTTTTCTGGCTGGATAGTACAGTGACAGTGTATAGCCTACCGGGTACCTCAGTTCAGGGACAGGTTTTAAATGTATGTGGTGTCCCACAAACCACAATTCTTACACTGTTGTGTTTACCAAGGAGCTCTAAATAAAAGATAGTCTAAACAAAGTGTACATGTACCAGATCAGATTGCTGCTCCATGGAGCACTGGCAAAACAAAAACAATTCTTCTACTAGGTACTGACCTGTATACCATTTCAGACAAATGATCAAAACAAAAATTGTAAAGAGAAAACTGAAGCACAAGTTTACACATGTCCAAAACAATAAAAAAAAATTTGCTTTAACAGTGAAAATACAAATTGCTGTTTTTCATGTCAATGGATGGACTTAAACAGTTCAGACGTTTCCTTATTTAGTTCTCTAAATATCCAAGCTTTTGTCTTCTCACAAATTTGTTTTTTTAGTTTAACAGCATACATACATGTATGTGTAGTTTAAATTAATTGCTGCATCATAGACATTTTATTCAAATGTCATATAATTCTGGATGACAATTAAGTTCACTGCCGTACTGGCAGTCAAAATCTAACTTGCCAAAATAGAATAGTTTGTATTTGAATACTGTTTTTAAACAACTCTTGTTTATGTACAAAATGTACATCACACGTCATATTCCAGACAGGGCTCTGGAGTGCTCTGAAATGTGCAAAACTAAATCAGGCCCACTTTACTCGCAGTTTAGCCAGCAAATTTCTCCAAAAATTCCACTGGAGCAAAGAAGATGTCCTCAGTATGTCACCAACCAAGTTTGCAGACTGAATTCAATTTTTAAAGGAGACTTTTCTTCAATATTTTGCACATGAGAGGGAAGTCAAGTGATTTCAAAATGGGGCTAAATACTAGACTGGTACATGTCCAACCATGGTCCAACTATTTGAAAAGACTGTTCTCTTCATTCAGTGTGGTGGCTTGACTATGGCGAAATGTGTAGTAAATTGAGACTAGTGCCCGCTTCATGCCACATGTTTCTTAAACATTTTTGGCATGGTTGATTGATGCAGTACTGAAGCTGTATTGGATTGGTTGTTTTAGGTGCCAGTCTAGTTTCTTGTTTTACATGTTTTCAATACCTTAAGTTTTGGGACTCTCATACACAGTATTGAGAGTCCCAAATTTTCGGACTAGTCATATATTTATGGACTTACTAACAAGGTAAGATATTAATATGCAAACAAATCAGTATAACGACTACACATGCAGTTAACTTTGGTCTATAATGGCTACTCACCAATGGTTAGCAAGAACACAGCACATAATCCTGTCCAGTGATGCATTTTTATTGAGTCCAGTAAAATCCCATCAACTAACGGAAATGTGCCCGGCTGACTGCAATGCACCACTGAATCCAATTCCCTGCCCTTTGAAAGAAATTTGGCAATAACTTCCGCTCAAGTGGATTCCAGGGTGATGAATGGGGCTAGCAGAGCATGTGGAGAAAGCTTGTCAAAAACAGGCTCAGCCACTCCACGAATCACAGTTCTCTTTGGGTGATGGCTAAAAACCTACTCCTGTCCACTCACTAATCCACAATGACAAGCCCACTGGCCAGGGCAGGCACGTTGTCTCAGCTACCTAGGTTCCTTTTTTTGTCGCTGACCTCGGTTCAACCTGTCGCAAGTTCACCGGTCCAGTGTCTTTTCCTGGTTCCAAGAGCTAGGTTCTGACAACTGCCTAACCACAAGGGCTGTGAAAAGATAGAGACACAACCAGAGTGAATGTCAATAAATGCAGTCTGAGGAATATCCTGTCATTTGTAAGAGGAAAATGTCTGGTTTTTACCGACTGTTTAGTTAATCTTTGTTGATAAGACAATGGAGCAAAACTTTTTTTGGTGTGCTAATTGAGAGAACACACAAGCAGAACACTGTACCGGGGTATCAGAAAAACATCAATCTCCTAACAAAAAAAACCAAAAAAACACGAATTTAATGATACATGTGCTTCATTACAGACAAAAATTCCCTCAGTCCCCCCCCCCCAAAAAAAATTAATCCTGGAAACAAATTTCAAGTAAAGAGGCTGTACAATGAACAGAGGTAACCAATGTGTAGGCCTACATGTACATGCTGGATGCCTAGCTACCGGTAAGTGTATGCACTATCATTTCTTTTGGGGGGGGGGGGCAAAAACCACCCAGTGACTCAATTCTCCAATTTCATAAAGCATCAATTGCTAACTTGGATCCTACATTATCCTCCATAGTCGAAATCATGGTATAGTGTATGCCCTCATACCATTGCCCTCAACCCTTCAAAATCCTCCACTTGTGCAAAATAGATTTAGGAGGAATTAGGAAGGATAGAGTTAATAATGTTGTGAAGTATACTGTTTTTCCATTCAAAGTAGTGCTCTGCCCCCCCCCCCCCAAGGATTATAGTTTCTTGCAGTAAGCAATGACTCGATTAACCATGATTGAGACGACACATCTAGTGTGACAACTCTACTACTTGCGCAGAAGTGATTAAACTGTCATTGCCGAACATCCTGTCTAGAGATTACGTGTAGGTCTTTGCCGGTTGCAAATACATATCACAAGACATAGGGGGCCTACTGTAGCCATAGTACTGAAAACCAGGTGTTTTTTTGTCCACCATATTGAAACAAATCAAGATTGATGAAAGAACCGCCGCTTTTGTGTGAATATTAAGAAGCAAATTTCACCAGAAGGACTCACAGCAGAGTTGTAATTATAATTTAAAAATGTGATGCTTGGGCGAGTAAACCTGCACGCCGAATATCAGGCCAAATGATTCAAACGAAAACATTCCATCAAAAACGCTGTTAGTGGTCCAAAGAGTGCTTACATGTAGGATTATAGACCCAAAAGTGGCCCGACTGGCAAAATATATTACAAAAAAATTCCAATTTATTTGAAAAATTGCAGCTACTCCTCCTGGATTTCATAGTGCATCATAAAACAGCCATCTTGCTTCAAGCCCATTTCCCGAAATACAACCGGCGCACGAGTGGTTGTGGTAATCAGAAGCTACCATGAGCTTCAAATTGCTTCGCGTCGGAATGGTCAGACCCCTTCATGTTTTGGGCTGGCAACAAGATCAAACTGCTAGCATTGTGTTGTACATAACTTAGTTGGCTCCACATGCACAGGTTTTTTTGTGTGTGTACATATTTGAGTAGCATCATGGACATGATGGAGGGAGGAATACCCAAGATTCCTCTTTTTATCTTTATCAACCTGATTGGATTCTAATTTTGAGTGGAGCCTTTGCTGAATAAATGACCAATCTGTTGTGTTTGGTGTTTACTTGATACATTCATTAAAAAATGAAAATATCGGCCCTAAAAGTGAAAACCTAGCACCTAACTCATACGACCCGTCCCAGCTCTATTGGTGAATCTCCCACATCATGAGCCTAGAGCAGGGTACAGAGCCTTACGCGGCCCGCCTACGGGCAATTTACATGCTGGGGCCATAACCCAGGCGTGTCATGCTTCATGTGTGCAAGCGAATGTTGCCTTATGCGGCCTGCAAGAAGGGGGATTCTTTTCATCATATTTGCAAATTTGGAACGATTCCACCCTTCTTTGTTTGATGCATAATACGCTAGTACATGTATGTCAAGAAGTACCAGACAGAGTTCGGCGCTGGTGTTGCCGTGTTTACAGGGGTAGTCCAGTAAATTGGCCACATTTATCAATGGGTCTAAAGTGAGAGGTCAAGTTTTGGCAAAATATTTCACTTTTGATTGCGCTTTTTCAGTTTCCATAAATTGAGATGCTAGCCACAACTTTACAAAGGCCTTTTTCGAGGGTGATTTGGAAAGAATGTTGCATTCTGATGCCTCTTCTGTCATCACATTATCTCAATGAAGTTCAGTCATTGCAAAGTTTTTGATAAGACATGAAGGTGGGACTGAGAAACATTTCCAATTTTGTCAGAAAATACTCCGAAAATGCTCTTTACTCTCTATAGACTTTGTACACAGCCAAAGAAGTGGCGTCTGGGGCTGTATTCACAAAACGACTTAAGTCATCAAAACGTAAGCACCCCACTTAAATATGCAACTTAGACGAGTCTTAATATTTAAGCAGTATTCATGAAACATTTGAAATAAGTGCCCCTCTTATTTTTGTGACTTAAATCTAAGTCTGGTCAGACCCCGTCTCAAGTCAAGTCAAGTGGGGCACTAGGGTGTCATGGCGGCTATATTTCTGTCATTTGCTTTGTAATTTTTAGGCACAAAATTTGACTTTCTAGGGGCTAAAGGAAATCTTGTCAATTTCGAATTATTGTGAAAAGAAGCCAAGTTGAAGCTAATGTGTGACAGCCCTAGGATTGCAGTTCGTCGGCATTCAAAGGATATTTTCGATCACTTTGTTGATATTTAGGCGGGGCGGCGAGGGTGCAATTGGTGACCAATGGCATGCACTGTAACCACAGTGACTGGCGACTATAAACTAAAACTAACTGTCTTACCTTCCAGCATGTATGAGAGAATGCTAATAAATCAACATAACAATTTGTTTTACACTTGATACTAAATAAACGTTGGGAAATAACTGCAAGCACCATACGATGTGCATGACAAACTCATTGGACTTGGAAACTGCATCGCTGAATATCACACACGCATGATTATGTTAAGGAAATATGCACACATCTGGATCTGTATCATATAGTCAGCAAAGCATACCAGGGGAAAACATCTCACCAACTTAAAGAGAAGACAATGAGAAGAAATTATAGTTTTAGAGGTGCGAGGAAAAGCCCAGAAGATATTCTGGGGAAAACCCACGGATTCGGGTAGGGACTGAAAACCCAATCCACATATTGGCCCAGGCCAGATTCCAACCCAGGTCACAGCGCGGTGAAAGGCGAGGAAAGAACCGCTACGCCAACCTGACTCCCTGGATTGAACTGCGGCCAAGTAGGAATCGTTTATGACGTAAATGTGTTGTGCGTGAGCAAGAGTGATCGCTTAAGTTAAGTTGAGCACTAAGATAAGTGGGGTGCTTCTAGATCTTTCGTGAAAACCAAATTAAGCGCCCCACTTAAGTTGGCAGGGTGCTCAGATTTAAGTGTGACTTAAATATTTTCTTAAGTTTGAGTTTGTGAATACGGCCCATTACAAATAGTGGAGTCTTATTTCACATACAATGTAGTACGTGCTGTACGTCATACGTCCACGAGACTGCACATGCACAACTGCTGCGTACATTGTGTATGGAGGTCAAACCTTTCACGCTCCGGGCTCGGTAACTAAAGAAAATCAAACAATGGCCACTTCAGATTGTGTTTAAAGAATTCTTTCTGATTCGTCTCATGCCAATTTAATTGTCTAACTCTCCAAAAAAACACCCGCTTCCATGAAATCTTTAACTTCATGTGAGTTATGTGAATTGCCATGTTGTAGGCATGCACATGCGAGCATGGTGCCAGCATTGTGACCGACACGCTGTTAATGAACATTCTCAACGTTCTTCTCCAGCACCTGGTGACTTTTGCCACTTGAGAACGAGGTAGTTCAGGTCCTAACGAAGATAGTGGATGTTAATTTTATTGTTTTTAATTAAACTTAAACACCCGCTAGGCGCTAGAAGCAAATGAATGTACGGCATACACAGTATTGAGAATGAGAGTCCCAAATTTTCAGACTAGGTATCCCTACGCACGTGCAAAAGATAAACGTGCATGCTGCGAAAGTCATGTTCCATGGAACGACAAATAATCTGGATGTAGAAGTGACTTAGTAAAGTTGAATACATATATATTCATTTTGAGACTCGCACCCTAGACTAGTAGATGCATCCTAGTAAGTACTACTACCGGTAGGGGTGGTGCACCCAACATGCCACCTGAACAGGAGATCCAACAAAACAGGTAGGCCAGGGGAAAAATTGACAACTGTGATGGGTTGACTCTCAAAATATATAGAAATTAATTCATTATTATTATAAATACAGAATGCCTTACCAAATACAGCTGTGAACTGTGTGACTTCAATCGGCAAATTGTGCGACAACTGCTAATAAAAATCAGCAAAGTTTCAGCACTACCGCCTGAGTGAGCGGTGTCAACTAGCTGCACTGTACAGCACTGCTGGGCTATCCCTCCCGCGCCGCTGATCCCTAGTACAGTGCAGTGTGTATGCGCATACAGTGTATGGTACGTACGCGTGGTCCGAAGAATCTAGCTTGGAATACAGTCATTACAGCTGCATTGTTATACAGGGTCCGTTCTATTTTATGGCAGGAATGTTACACAAGGCTGGTCACCATGCTATTTGCACCAGGCCAGCGCACAAAAAAATACCGGAAGTCAGAAGAAAAGGACTGTGCCAAACTTTATATGGGGGTGTTTTTTATGTGCCCGAAAGTTTGTGCGAAAATGTACACAATGAAGCAACAGAGGGGGTAGTTGTAAATTAAGGTCCGATCACAGATCAGAATTAGTGGAGCTGCTAAGCGAAAAATCGTGCACTTTGTGGTAAAAGCATGAAATTTGGCATGTGGGGTCAAAATGGGCTAAAGATCGGGACCCATCCTGGATCTTGCCCATTTTGTGGGCGGAGCTTGATTTTTCAAAAAATGGGGTGCAAACAATACAAACTCATGAAAACTGTATTTAACATCAAATTTCTTTGTTTTTTAACGCTTTGAAATAAACTTAAACATAAAATAAGACATTCTAGCATTCTAACACCTGTTAATTTTCCACCCATTTTGTGGGCGTGGTCTAAATGGTAAAAGAGGCGGTATATATTAGCAGTTTGGTCCTAATATGGAAAACGTCATTCAGTTTGGTGGTAAAATTCTGAAAATTGGCATGTCCAATTGAAATGGGCGAACATAATTTTTTGAGGTGAACGCATCTTGGATCTTGCCCATTTGGGGGGCGGAGCTTGATTTTTCAAAAAGGGGAGTGCAAAAAAAGAAAACTCAGAAAACTGTATTTACATCCACTTTGTAAATTCTAACATTCTAACGTGTTATTTTCACCCTTTTGCGGGTGTGGCCTAAATATGTCAAGAGGCGGTACATTAGAGCAGCTTGATTCGAACGAGGGAAAATCATCATTTTTGCTGGTAAAAACACAACTTTTCTATCGGTTAACTATGTTTACCATACACTGTAAAGATAAGTTTAAACGGTTGCAAGACTAATTGTTGCCCTTTAGGGGTGGAGCTACATTTTAAAGTAGGCGGCTATATAAAAAAATCATATCTAAATTGTTATGATTGTCTACAAGTAACTTACACAGGGTGAGTCAAAAAAAGGAAACCCAAATGGCAGGACAATTTTTTTTAATGAAGTTCTGCATGTAGCACCTTCAAAATCAAGATATGAAAGCCCAATTTATAAGCTTTGTTTTAGTACAAGAGTCATTCAAATCACTTATGTACTTTGCAAGTTACAGAATTTTAAACACAAACACCGTCTTAAAAGTTCTGTCAGCAAAACGAAAACAATTCACATATAGGGGGATGCGCTGGAATTGTTTTCGTTTTGCTGAAAGAACACACACCATTTTTTGTGATACGTGGACAGAACTTTAACACAGTGGTTGTGTTTAAAATTCCGTAACTTGAAAAGTACATATGAGTGATTTGAATCATTCTTGTACTAAAAGAAAGCTTATGAATCGGCTTTCATATCCTAGATTGTGAAAGTACTACATGCAAAACGTTATTAAGAAAATGGTCCCGCCATTTGGGTTTCCTTTTTTGTTCACTCACCCTGTATACTTACAATGGCGGCATTTCCTAATTGTGCATGTATTATAAACACTATGGGGATCACAAGGAGAGGGAGGGGAATTAGGGGCGGCCCAATGAAGGATTTCTTGAAAGTGCTCTTCCAATATTGGGGGGGGGGGGGGGGGGGGCTAGCACGGTGGATCCAGAACTTTTTCAGGGAGGCGTGCTGAAATGTTGACCGGTTATTTTATTCCAGACAATTAGGCCTCCGAAAATCAATAGGTGGGGAGGGGGCATATGGAAAAGTTTCCTGGCTAAAGTCTCAAAAAATCAGTTGTGTGTCTATGTGACCTTCGGGACACGCCACGCGTGTACTGAATGGGTCAGTGCCCAATCATGCATTATGCATAACTCCTCTGTGTAGCAAGTATGCGTGTGGCCAGTACCGAAGAGTCCATTGTGACAAATGGGTAAACCACAACGCATAACTCCAATAAACAACAGGTGTTTACACAGGCCTACACATTGGAAACATCATCTTTCTCTATGGCAAAATACAGGACATAGTGAAAAACACAACAATGAAAATAAAGCAACCTGAAAGAAGATCTCACATGAATTTTAGTCATACGAAAATCCCAAATAAGTTACGGACACTGCTGGGCTTGCAATCATGCACTTGAATTGACCACGCTGCGCGCGTGCCGAATGGTATTCCCTATATAGTAATGGTATGGACCACCTTCACTGCAATTAACTTCTTCGACGAATTCCTTCAATTTCCTGTGGAAAAACCGTATAAGTTCATGTAGGATGAACACTGCATGTGGCAAAAACATAGTAAGTGCCAATTTCATTTCATATATTTCATATTTGTTCCGTTCAGAGAGCATAAAATACAGCAAATCCAGTCACATCCACCGCACGGCTAGCTAGAAGCAAGTCAGTGGACATGACGTCACGCGAATATTATGCTAATCCCAGCGCTAGGTCACGACGAATACCATTGGATAGCAGAACGATGGGCTTCAAGTTTTCTTTCATTCCGACGACATTTCTCAGCCAATCAAAACGAGTTTTACATATGATATGGGGAGGTAACTAACGCAGAAAATGCCGGAAAACCCGCTGTCATTGCGTAATGCATTGCCGAGTTACAGCTTCGCAAAGTCGCCCCATCTGATGCGTGAGGGTAAAACTGCGTGTGATTACACTGAAAAGGGCCGCTCTGGTCTCTCGTAAAAGCGTTTTTAGAAAGCTGGTCCGACGACATTGAATGCTCTATTCGAGTGAAATTTTGGGATTTCGTAGGAAAATATATAGAGATTGGAATGCCGGGCGACCCCGATTTATATGTTTTTTCGTTTGGCGACTAAAACCATTTTTTCACCGGTGGACCGGATTCGGAGCGACTGCGGCTAACCCGTTTTGTGCGTAACACGGAAACACGTCCATATCGGTGTAGCAAAAGAGACTACTTTTCCATATGGGGGGGGGGGGGTTCATGCCATATTTTCAATGGGGAGCGCCAATAAAATCCTAAAATCATTCACGCTATATTAACTAATGTACCCTTGTCACAGCTATTTCTTCTTTAGGGGGAGACCGTTCGCATGTACATCACAATCCATCTTTATGCTAATGCCCCCCCCCCCCAAGAACCTCGCCTGCGTCCATTCCTTGCAGTGTGTACTGTTGGATTTATATTAGATGGATGTTGGGACTTGGGGGAGTAAATAGTAATGTGCTACTGGCTGAAAAGGAGGGAATAATGTTGGGTTTTTTCGAGAAATTATGTAACTTCTTAAATAATGCGTTAGCAATGTCCAGTTTGCTGACGTCACGATCCTAAAACCTCACGAAGTCATTATGTTTTTCTATATAATATCTAAGGGTAAGTTTGGTAAAATTTGGATGAATGGTTTTTAAATTAAAAATAGTCTAACTTTCTTGGACGTGCTAGGGGTGCCCTTTCAGCCGTTTTTATGCCCCGCGGCGAAGCCGAAGGGGCATACTGTTTCTGCCTTGTCCCTCCGTGGGTGGGCGGGTGTGTGAGTGTGTCTTACATTCCCTATGTGGACTTGTGAACAAAAGATGTTCACATAATGCAGGTTGTGTTAACGTTATGTGGACTAAGCCGTGTCCACATAACGTTTTGCCCTTTCTGGAAAACAGGTTTAGAGGCATTTTTGGGTTAGGTTTATCCGTAGCAGAATGAAGAGAAACACTATAGGGAATCATAGAAAAAAAATTGGGTTGAAAGAGTTTTCACAGTTTAAGTAAAATTATTTTTTGTACCGAGTTTTCTTAACTACACGAAAACAAACGAATGTCCACACAAGGTATGTAACGTAAACCTGGCCGGGGTGCGCAGAATTATTTGCTTTATAATTTCAAGGTTGCCCCAACCCAGCCTTGTGAATGACAAGTGCATATTTGAAATCTGAAGCATTTACTCCTTTATATTCATACGAAACGTACAGATGGGAGTAATGCAAATGCCAGTATTTATTCATACGAACTACCGTATGGTATTATTTGTACTTTTTCGCGATTAACATTAATAAATGCAGTAATTTTTGCGCATAATTATGTGCTTTTATATTTTCAAGGTAGCCCCAACCCAACCTTGAAATATGACAAGTAAATATTTAAGATTTGTAGCATTTACTCCTTTTTATTCATAAGAAACGAAGTAAACGCTTATAGTGTAGCAATAGGCTTAAAGGTAAAAGTAATTATTTTCAGAATTTAGCAAACGGTTTTTAGTCAAAGTGTTGCTTAATTTTCATTCGTACAGATGCGAGTAAATGCTTCAAAATGGTAGCAAAAGCAAATGCCATGTTTTATTCATATACGAACATGGTATCATTTGTACTTTATGAACTTTAATAAATGCAGTATTTTTTTGCGCAGAAGTATTTTACTTTATAATTTCAAGGTTGCCCCAACCCGGCCTTGTAAATGACAAGTGCATATTTGAAATCTGAAGCATTTACTCCTTTATATTCATACGAAACGAAGTAAACGATAAATATTTTTTTTCTGGTAATGAAACCAAGGATCCTCAAAAGTGCATGCCCCAGGCACTGTAGCTCGCAAACCCCGGGAAAAAACGTAGAGAGAATTAAGACAATGAGAAGAAATTACAGTTTTAGAGGTGGGAGGAAAACCCCAGAAGAATAGTCTGGGGAAAACCCACGGAATCAGGTAGGGACTGAAAACCCATTCCACATTGTAGACCATGGGTGCCGATGCACAGCGCATTGTGCACGTAAACGGCATTGCGTTCGTCGCGTTTGATGCGCTTTTTTTGTATCTGTCCTCCAGCACGTGACCCTCCCCGATGCCGCTTTCCGTTTCGGTTATGATAGTTTTATTTTATGCAAACTTATAAACATGTAAAGCTTTACATTTTGCAGGTCATTTACTCAAGAGCAAATGGTTTTTAGTAAAAGTGTTTGCTTAATTTTCATTGATACTCATGCGAGTAAATGCTTCGAAAGTGGTAGAAAAAGCAAATGCCATGCTTTATTCATACAAACATATGGTATCATTTGTACTTTATGAACTTT